AAAAAAAAAAAAGATTTACCACCTCGGAAACCAAAAGGAGGTCACTATGAGTTGGAACTGACTCAATGGCAGTGAGTTTGGTTTTGTTTGAACAGCCACTGGGATAAGGCAAAATTACATTGCTTACTAAGAAAGCTATGCAGTAATTTTAAGATAATACTATACTATACTTTATGTGTTATTTTGAAAAAACTCTGAAGCAGTCTCCTCATATAATTCTCACAACAATCTTCTGAGGTGAAGTGAGCCTGGAAGTTGTATTCATTTCAGAGAATTAATAACTTCACTGGAATCACAAAAATTAGTAGCAGGGCTGGTAAAAGTCCCTAAGTGTTTTAAGTTGTATCCTATTTTGATTTAAAAAAAGAAAATTGGGGGAATACAAATAATAAATAGTTCTCACTATAAAAAGAAATTGCACAATTATAGATGAAACAAGTTCCGTTTGTCCACCATCTCCAATCCCATTCTGTGCTAAACCTCTTTCATATTCCCCATCTCTATCTGTGTTTATAATCTATTACAGTGCCTAAAGCATTTGACTGCTAACCAGAAGGATGGCGGTTCAAACTCACCAGCCATTCCTCGGAAGGAAGATGGGGCAATCTACTTTCGTAGTGACACTGCCTCGGAAACCCAAGGATGGGTCTATGAGTCGGATCCGACTTGACAGCACGTAACAACAACAACAACAACAATAGGTGCTCTAATAGAAACTAATTCAATAATTTAAAAATAAAAAAAAAAAGATTTGGTTCGCAAAACTTATCTTGGAGTCATTTTTGCTTTTAACAAATTTCAGAATTTTCTCTTTTGAATGACATAACATTTCAACATTTTTTGTAATATAAACTTGAAAAAATTTTGGTATAAAATTTAGCAAAGTGTTTTCTTTTGGATTCATTATATATGCTTAGAAACATTTAGCTTATTAAATTTATCAGTCCTAGAGCCAACCCAGAAGGCATTACTGATACAGAGGTGGATGATTAAGTAGTATGGTAAATAAAGAAAGGTCTAAGACAACTGTAGTAATTATTTCTAAAAAGTACTGCAATAGCTTGATATATTTTCTATAAATCTAAAAATAAATTATGTGATTAATTTAAAAATATAGTTACATAGTTCATCATGTGGTATCTAAAAATATTCAAAAGAATTTCTATATTTAAGATAAATTTTAAGAAATATATTATAAAATACAATAATTCATACATCTATTATTTTCATTCTCCCCTTGTTCCTGATTTCTTACATAATTGCAGTTTCAACCTTTTGCCAGGCATAACAAGACTTAAGGAACCAGTTGTTACCTAATGAGGGAATGAATTTTAAATTACCAGACATGACTTACAGGAGTTCAAGAAGCAATACCTCAAATAAAAATGAATCAATCTATTTGATATATTTATCAAATGAAAAGTAAAATTCTGAAATTGTAAGAAGCTGAGAAAATGGATCTATAACGTCTTAAAATCTATGTGGCATTACCAATCATTTAATTTTAAAGAGAAGCAGTAATCAAGCCAAAATACAACTTTAACAAATGAGACATAACATTAAAGCCACTTAGACCACTGAATAATGACTGGTTCACTATGCAACTAATTTACTTACTTGTCATCATGCTCATAAATATTCAGACCCAAAGCATCAACACCTAGCCACAATTCAGTTCCCTTTTTATTTTTTATTTCAAAATAGTTGACTCCATACATTTCTAGATCTTGCGCAATCTTCAGGTATTCCATCATAGAATCCTCCCTGTTGAAATAAAGCTAACTGTTATATACTTAAGTATGAATATCTAATACTAAACCGAAATCTCAAAATCCCTTAAAATTTAGTGCATTCTTTTTAGTCACCTTAATCAAATAATGTTTTGGGCATGATCAGATGTAGTAATAAACATTATGAAAAATAATTAATTTGAGAAAAACTCAAGAAAATTGCTACGCAAATACCTTAGCATTCCTCTATGTTCTTCGTGCCAGTTCTGTATTCTTTCTTCCCATTGTTCTTTTGTCAGTTTGTGTTGTTCCAAAACACTGTAAAAAGGAAAAAACATGTATCTATGAAAATGCCTCTATGATTCAAAATCAGTATTCTTTACAAAATCTAGGAATCTTCCTGTATCTTGAATGTAGTGGTGATCACATGAATCTACACATGATAAAATTGCACAAAACTAAATAAAACAAAACAAAAACAAAGCAGCTGTCGTCAAGTTGATTCTGACTCATGGCTCCAGGTGGGTTTGAACCACTAATCTTTCAGTTAGTAGTCAGAGCTTAACCATTCACACCACTGAGTGACACAGACCTAAATACATATATACAAATGAGTGCATGTAAAACCTGAATAAAGGCAATGGATTGTATCAATGTCAATATCCTGATTGTAGTTATTGTATTATAGCTATGCAAGATGTTACCACTATGGGAGGCTAGAAGGATACGTAGGCGCTTTCATTCTTGCTAATGCATGTGAACCTACAACAATTAGAAAATAAAAAGTTTCTGTTGTTGTTTTTATGTGCCGTTGAGTCAGACCTGACTCACAGCGACCCCTCCTTGAGTTTCCAAGGCGGTATCACCAAGATTTACATCCTAAAATTTTCAGTCTTCATTTCAAATTCCATTGTTTTGTCTTTTGCATAATATACTTGTATTATTCTACACCACTAGTCTGCAGGTATCCAAGAATTCCCATCTTCTTTTTCTTATGTCCAAATACAAAGGAGTCCTCTTTCATGTCTAAAGCTAATCTGTCCAACTTGGCTTTAAATCTACCATTTGGGCCTTTAAATGACCTCTACATCCACATTACTGGGGTTTTTAACCCATCAATTATTGTGCCCTGCCTACATACATAGGAGCGCTGGTGGCATAGTACCTAAGGCATCTACCGGCTAACAAGAAGGCTGGTGGTTCAAATCCACCAGCCACTCCTCAGAAGGAAGACTGGGCAATCTACTTCCATAGAGATACTGCCTCAGAAACCCAAGGAGGGGTTGCTATGAGTCAGGATGGACTCGATGGCAGTGAGTTTGGTTTTGGTTTTGGTGCCTACATACATTATTACATATAGGGATATGTGATACGTTATATAGGGAAAGAACACAGTCATGTTGTTCACCATTCTATGCCCACTGCCAGCACTGAAATGGGTCTCAAAAATTTGTAGAATGAATAAATGAATTAAAATAATTCAATTCTCCCCCATCTTATAAATAACATATCTAAAAATCCATGCCTCCTCCAACAAACATATGAAGAAATGTTCATGATCATTAGCCATTAGAGAGATACAAATCAAAAGCACGAGATACCACCTGGCCCCAGCACTAATAGCAAAGTTCAACAAGGCAGAAAATAAGAGATGCTGGCAAGGATGTGGAGAGACTGGGACTCTCATATACTGCTGGTGGGACTGTAAAATGATACAACCACTATGGAAAGCAGTATGGCAATTCCTTAAAAAGTTGGAATTGGAAATACCATTTGACCTAGCAATACCATTGTTGTTGTTATGTGCCGTCGAGTCGGGCCCGACTCATAGCGACCCCTCCTTGGGTTTCTGAGGCAGTATCACTATGGAAGTAGGATTGCCCAACCTTCCTTCCGAGGAGTGGCTGGTGGGTTTGAACCGCCAGCCGTCTGGTTAGCAGGCAAGTGTCTTAGCCACTATGCTACCAGAGCTCCTAGCAATCCCATTAGTAGGTATATATACTAAAGAAGTGAGAACCAGGACAAGAACAAATAAATGCACACCCATGTTCACTGCAGCACTATTTGCAACAGCAAAAAGATGGAAACAACCTAGGTGCCCACCAACAGAAGAATGGCTAACCAAACTATGGTACATACACACAATGGAATTATTATGCAACTCTACAGAATAATGAAGAATCTGCAAAACACCACATAACACGGATGAACTTGGGGGACATGATGCTGAGTGAAATAAGTCAATCACAGAAGTACAAATATTATATTAGTCCACTATTGTAAAAAGTCAAAGAAAGGTTTAAAATGGAAGGAAACTTTTTTGTTGGTTACAAGGGGTGGGGGTGGGAGAGGGGATTGAACACTGGTAAATAGGTAGATATAAATATTGATTTAGGTGAAGGGAAGGGCAATGCACCAAATGTGAGTGATCAACACAGTGGCACTGAGGAAGAGGAAGACAAAGAGAGGTGCATGGGAGATCCAGACAACAAAGATGAACCCTTTTGCATATACTGTACTGCATTGTCAATGATGGTAAACATTGATCTATGAGTGGATAGAAAAGTGGAGAGGCTGAACAATCAGGTATGTCTATGAAGAGGGGAGTGTGCCCATGACCATGTATAGGGGTGGTAAACAATGCTTCTACAAGTGTATTTGTATGTGTTGAAAGAATGTCCAGGTCTACAGTACAGCTGACAAAGGACAAGGCTGTGGTGACTTCTTGGCCACAGCCAGCTACTCAGAGAGAGTGAGTAGTTGGACCTGTGGGCTTGGGATCATGGTCCCAGGGGACATCAAGCCCAACTGGTATAACATACTACACAAAAAACATTGTTCCACATCCTACTTTGGTGAGTAGGGACTGGGATCTTAAAAGCTTGCAAGCGGCCATTTAGATGCACTGATGGGTCTCTCCTTGTCCAGAGCAAAGAAGAATGAAGAAAATCAAAGATGCATGGAAACAATTAATCCAAGGAACTGGTACACCATGTGATCCCCAGACTATATGCCCAGGAGACCAGAATAAACAGATGGTGCCTGGCTACTACTGTCAACCATCCAGAGGGGGATCTGTGTAGGGGATCCTGGATAGAGAGGGAGAACAATGTGGAACAAAACTCAAAATCATATAAAAAATTTTAAAAAAGATCAGGTTTGCTAGTCTGATAGAGCCTGGTGAGACCCAAGACTATGGTCCCTAGCTGCCCTTAGGTCTGGAACTGAACTCGCTCCTGTGGCTACCAGCCAAACAATAGACAGGCACATGGGATTAACTTTTACATTAGGTAGATACATTCCTTAGAAGAATTAATCATGGAAGAACAGAAGGGCAGTGTTTGCACAGGGAGACAGCTGGGGGTGGGGAGAAAGGACATAGAAAGAGATAACTTTGGAGAGGAAGTGGGAAGAGATCTGTTACACTGTGGGAAATTGCAGTCAATGTCATGAGACAAAATGTGTATTAACTGCTGTATGGAAAGTGAATTTGCTTTGTAAACTTTCACCCAAATCACAATGAAAATTTAAAAAAAAATCCACGCCTCCTACTCCTAGTTTTATTCTTTTCCAGAATCAAGCTTCTTTCTAGGATGGTCTATATCCACTCTTTCATTTGCATACCACGTTATCTACTGTCCTAATCTACAGCAATCTGGCTTTAATCCCCAAAATGCTAATGAAACTGCTGTTACTAAGGTCACCAACAATTTCCTTATTCATAGTGAACCTCTTTGTACCATTTGACACTACTGACCAATCTCTCCTCAAGACATTCTTTTACCTTGACTTCCATTGCATAACACTCCTCTGCTATTCCTGACGCTGGTCATTTTTGCTCAGTGTATTTTCCAGGGGCCTCTTTCTCTGTACTTACAGGTTGATGTCCAATAAGATCTGTCCCAGGCCTTTTTCTCTTTCTATACATACTTCAGGAGTTCTAGTGGCATAGTGCCTAAGGCATCTGACTGCTAACCAGAAGGCTGGAGGTTCAAATCCACTAGCCACTCCTCAGAAGGAAGGCTGGGCAATCTATTTCTCTAGAGATACCACCTCGGAAACCCAAGGAAGGGTTGCTATGCGTCAGATCCAACTCGATGGCAATGGGTTTATATGTACTTTAAGGTCCATCTCTTTCATTCTCATGGGTTAATTACCATCTATTTGCTGATTACTCCCAAACTGTATCTATAATCCAGACTGCTCTCTAAGATCTGGACTTACATTTCCAATGTAAACTGGAACTAAATTCTCTCTTGTTATAGCATATATATTTACTCAACAGATTCAAAATTGAATCTAGCCTCCTTCCAAATGTATTCTTTCTTCTGGTGTATTTTGGTAAAAGGTATTATCAATCACCCAGATGTTTAAGTCAGAAACCTGGCATGTAAAACTTCATATATGTCAAGTACTCTTCAAAGGCAAGAAATATTATCTGGTGGAGCTGATTATTCATCTCACCACAGAGCTGAACTCTACTGTGGGTTTTTCAAAGCTGGAATTAAGCATCGATCAAAATAAAATTATTTTTGCTTAATATATGATCATCAAATAACCTCTTGATTACTAATTTGACTCCTAGGTACTTAGATACTAAGAAAGAACATGCTATAAAACGTATATAAAATATGCCAATTACTGCGAAGGTATTTTCTTCATTCTTTACCAAAATATCGTTATTCTAATTATGATGAAAGGGAGGTCTGGTGGTGTAGTGCTTAAGGCATTTGACTGCTAACCAGAAGGCTGGCAGTTCAAACCCACCAACCACTCCTCGGAAAGAAGATTGGGCAACCAACTTTCATAGAGATACTGCCTCCGAAACCCAGGGAGGGGTCGCTATGAGTTGGATCCAACTTGATGGCAGTGAGTTTGGTTTGGTTTTGAAATTATGAGGAAATGAGTTCCTTTATGTGGCCTTTTGTCTTAGTTCTTTGGAAAAGCTTGAGAGATTTTCCCCCTAATCCCTGAGGAATCATGTTTTCCCTAGTTTTCTACCCTAGATGGTTTGTTACTTTTCCTGAGTTGTAAACAACATGGTTTGATACTTTTTGTTAGGCCTTGAGCTGCAGCCTGCCATGTGACTGGTATGTACCTTGCAGGAATTGGTCAATATGCTATGCAAATATAGTGACTATAACCTACTATGCAAATTAAGTGTCTGTGGCCTAAGGAGAAGGAATTGCTGGGTTTATGGCTCTGGTGGGAGGGCCATGACTTGAAATTAATAAGGAGTTTTGTTTGTGTGTGTGTGAAGAAAACCATAAGGAAGAGAGAAGTAACAGAGAGAGAGAGAGAGAGAGAGAGAGAGAGCGCGCGAGAGAGAAAGGCAAAACATTTCCTAAAAGAACTGTACCAAAGGTTAAGGACTATAACACTGAGGAAACCCAGAGTCCCAAAAGGGACCCAGTGCCAGGGCTGACAGCGAGAGGCCCAGAAGGGGCCCTGTAGCAGAGTCAGTGATGACAGATGGCAGGGCCAAGAGAAGCCTATCATGAAAGAGCTAAGAGGAGCCTGTCCCGAGGGGGCCAAAGGGAGATCTGCACAGCCAAGAATAGCTGAGACAGCTGTCCTGCAAGTGAAGAAGGGAGAAAGGTGTTCTCTTCTTTGTGGGGAGCCTTTTAGACTTTGCCTGCATGCTTCCTGATCCTAATCTTGAGTTGTAGCCTGTTGATCCTGATTCCAAGTCGTACCATTACTTACTTAATAAACCACTCAAAAAAGGTATGGTCTGTCAGTTCTGTATGGTCACTGTAAGGGATGATTAAATTCAGAAGAGAAGTAGAGGATGCCATGTAAGGGATGGCTGGTGTCAAAATTGGTATAAACGGTTAGCAGTATGTCTGATCTCTACTTCACAGGGATTAGCCTCAGGCTGATCTTGATTCACATTACCACCCCCCATCCCTCCAAGTTAATACAGTTTTAAGATACTACTATTACTTAGATTTTACACTAACTTTATAAATCTGTATATTAACTTAGATAGCTTAAATCAGACTTCCCAGAGATTATCAACTCTGGAAGAACAATGGAGTTTCTCGATCTACAGTTAAGGACAAAATATTGAAGATATCCACACTAGCTACCATAAGATGCTATCTAAAACAGCTCAACTATCTTCTTTCTTTTTTAATAGAGTGGGTGAGAACATATGAATATAAAATAGAAGAAGAACTGTGCTTAAGTGTGACTCTAGTGTTTAAAAGTTTTTTTTTTAATCACCTAACTATTAAATGTAAGCCAATCAACTCCAGCTAGAGCTCATGAAATGAGCAATCTGAAATCTCACCTAACACTGAAAGAACTATGTTGTACTTGTTGAGGTAAGTATGCCTATTTAAGATTTTTTTAAGGTAATTTTGTTTATACATATATTTACATTATGTACTGATTTTACAACCTAACTCACTATATACTTTATTATGTATAAACCATAACTCAAAAATAAAAAACAATCCTTATCTCAACTGAAATTCTATTACTCAATTCAGTGCAAAGGATTTTGGGTTAGAATAGCAATCAAAACCGTAAGAACAGAAACTGATTAACGAATACCTCACACTGATTCCTATTTCTTTTTGTAAACAGCATGCTTTATTCTACCTTCCTCTAAGGTAACTATTTTTACAATGATATTAAAGGGTCAGAATAGTACAATATTTAAAAATCACATTTTAAAGCTACTGTACTTAATGGTACCTTCTGAAGTATGTATCAACACACAATACAGTTTATTAGCCAAAAAAAAAAAAAGCTAATGCTTAGAACCAAAATAAATGAATAAATGTGGTCATGATATAGTTTTTCTTTATACTTGTTACTTAAGTAAAAGAAACTATACCTAACAGCTAATAGAAAGTGCATAAAATTGAAATCTTAAGGTGATATACAGTTTTCCATTTAAGTAGAAATTTAAAAATTCAAGAATTTGGACTAAGTAGAGTAATAACTTCTTTAAAAGAAAGATCTCAATGTATATCTTCTAATATCAAAGGCATGTATGCTATCACAATTAAAAATTGAGATATTTAAAAGTAATACTTGATTTTGTATTTTCTAGATTTCATAAGTAAGTACCAATTGACACTTATATCACATTGCACAGTTAAAACTATAAACCATGTAAGTCATAAATTATAATTATAAACTGCATGTATTTTATAGGTTTAGATCCTGAAGCTCAGTTAGGTTATATACTTAAGGTTATAATCCTAAGGTTTCCTAATGATTTTTTTTACTAAGCCATGCTATTTTAAAATAATTGCTATAAAAGCAGCAGTTGGCTGCAGACAAGAGCAGAACACTACACCAGGAATCTAAAAACTTAGTGGAAAAGCCTTTGGTGAAAAAAACAGAAACTGAAGCCTATGGAGAAAGTAGTCTTACAGTTATTATTCTCAGAAGTATTTATAAAAGCACATATCTGCCTGAGTTAGAATTTTTACTAAGCAGCAATAGTCACATTCTCCCTCAGCCCAAGTTATTACTACCTTCATTTACTGCTTATCCTATGATAATAAAAGTAGGAAATTTAGTTAATTATTGACTATGCAATCAATGTAGCTGTTGGATCATACTTTTAGCAACTACAATGTGTGGTCCAAAAACTTCCAAAGAATCTCCCCAAAAAAGTTCTACTTACAAACTTCTGGAATATAATTTCTCAGAAATACAACATAAAGGCATGTTTTACTTACCGTTGGGGTAGGAGTCTATCATTAGCCAGGTAGCCTGGTTTATGAATCTCTTTATTATAATCTCCATACTTGGCCTGGACGGCATAGGAAGCCAAAAGAACTGCAGTTTCTGGTGGGCAGTATATTTCATCATTTAAGATAGCTTCTTTAACTTGCAAGAAGAAAAGTCTCTGGGTTATTTCTTGAATTAACTCCTCAGAAACATCTTCAGGAAAGAATTTCGCTCTAAACTTGAACTGTAAAGGATTCTCTTTTTTAACATCTTGCTGTGTCACCTGCAACAGCATTTTAGGGAATGAGCAACAAAAATTTTATAACTGCACCTATCTACCTCAAATTATTTTTGGAAGAAAGTGGGATTCTAAATCTATTAAGTATTATTCTAGTTGATAAATGCTAAATCAGTAAAAGCTATATATGGAAAATATGCTAAATTTCATGAATGTGACCTGTAACTCACAAATCCTATCTAATAATCAAACCAACAATTTATGTTCATATTGGTGGCAATATTTAACTCAAAGTCAAAGGATCATATGTAATACCTGCTTTAAAAAAAAAAAACTTAAGTGCTAAGTTTTTAAATACAGAAAATGAGTACTTTTTTCTCAGATGAAAGTTGGTAGTGCCTAACTGGATTAAACATATGCCATCCCGTAACGATTAACATAAAGAAAACTGTAAAAGAAGGGCTGGAATGTTTATCCAGCAAATACCTAATAAGTTCATATTACTTTCATTATTAACTTAATGTCATCAAATTTTACCTTTTTATTTAGTTTAAGCCAAGTAGAATAACCTTTGCTGTCCACATACTGCAGCCCAAAAAACCAGACCTCACGCAAACCAACTGTTTTAACCACCTTAAAAATAAATAAATAAATTTTAGTTCGCATTATAAGTAGATGACACCGTACTTCAAAAGAGCAAAATTACACAGTTATCATAGATACATTCTTTTGCATAGAAAAGACCTTTCCTAAATTTAACATATTAAACAAAGGAACATTTCTAAAAACGTGTAATTCTGTGTCTCTATATTCAATTTTGTAGCTCCACTTCAGCACTCCTGTTTGATCCATATTTTCACATCCCTTTTTTCCTTCTCTTCTCCCATAATGACTTCAACAAATAGCAAGAAAAGTCCTGTCATAATTTCACTTTCCTATTTCAACTTACCTCTACAACTACCTTTAGAGGTAGATAGGGCAAATAAAGAAAGGGCCTTTGAATACATTAAATGCCATACCCCAAGTTACTCAGCTGGCGATTTCATCCTCACTTTCTTTCACTCCCCATATATTCCATACTCTATTGCTACTGAGTAGAAACTCAATCTTGGAACAGTCCATAAATTTCAACTTTCTGCATCTCTGTTCATGCTAGTTCTTCTGTCTACAATGCTTTCATTTTACTTTTAGTATTTGTGGAATGATTTATTCTTCAAAGCCCAGCTCAACTAACATGCCTTCTGTGAATAGAGCCACTACTATCTTCTAGATAAAATCAATCACTTCTTCCCTGATGGTCCCATAATACTTTATGTGTATTTCTATCAGAACATGTATTGTATCATAGGAGCTCTGGTGGCATAGTGCCTAAGGCATTTGACTGCTAATCAGAAGGCTGGAGGTTCAAACCCACCAGCCATTCCTTGGAAGGAAGGTTGGGCAATCTACTTCCGTATTCATACTGTCTCAGAAACCCAAGAAGGAGTCGCTATGAGTCGGATTCAACTTGATAGCAGTGTGTTGCATTTGCATTGTATTCTATCATAGCTAGCTATATTGTTACTAGTATATCTATTTGCCCTTCCTGACTGTAAAGTTTAAGGACAGAGATTATTTTCTTATTCATCTTAATATTCCTGCCATCTCAAAGAATGGTTTTCCTGTAGTGGGTACTCAAAAGCTTTAGAGTATAAATGAGGTGGCAGTGCTATAACCCAAATCCAGGAATGCGTCCACAGTTAATAAAAGCATTTGTGAAAGAAATATATATGTATTTAAAATAGAATGAGAAATGATCCAGGAAAGATGAGAATTTATTATATTTTTAAAGCTTTATAAAAAGATTCAATATGTTGTATTCAAAGTTCTTATATGATAAACTATTTTTTTTTAAATCCAGGTTTCTGGGTCAAGATAGTATATCGAACTCTTCATTTTACTTTCTTTTCCTCAAAAATTTAACTAAAGGAGTTCCAGCAAGATGGCAGACTAGGCACAAGGACTACACAGACGCTCTTCAACAAAGAAAAGGAAACCAATGAACACAGACACAGAAGATAATCTTGGACCCCTGAACCTTGAAGGGAAGGATACAAAAGTGGACTAAACCCCAACTAGCAGAAGAATTTACGTGAAAATACCAAAAAAGGAGACACACGGAGCTACAGTCTGGCAGCAGACTTAGCGACCCCGATGGCACAGACGACATGGCTTGGAGATTCCCAAGTGGTGGTAGGACCTAAGAATTAACCCAAAAATCACCCTACTAGCCAGGAACTGCACGAAAGACTGTACACAGTGGCTGGGGAACAAACGGAGAAGGTGAAGAGAAAGGTGGGCTGAGTTGTGGACTTTTGCCGGTCCGGAGGGCACCGCCATTTTGTAGGTTTAAAAAGCAGCCTGACTATTTTGGATATTTAAAGAGACAGCGCTCTTGCAGATTCCTATGGTGGTAGGACTTAAGAATTAACCTAAAAATCACCCTGCTAGCCAGGGATTGCACGGAGGACTGTTCACTGTGGCTGGGGAACAAACGGAGAAGGTAAAGAGAAAGGTGGGCTGAGCTGTGTACTTTTGCCGGTCTGGAGGGCACCGCTAATTTGAAGGTTTAAAAACCGGCTCGACTATTTTGGATATTCAAAGAGACAGCGCTCTCGCAGATTTCTGGGGCTTAAGAACACATTCTGCTTTCCAGCAACCCAAGGACACTTGGGGCCTGCAAGACTGAAAAGGTACGACGTTCTTCTTGTTACTACACCCTACACCTGCTTGGTGAACGGAGGTGTGGCCATCCCCACTCCCACCTACCTTCTGGGCCTACAGGAACTCCATCACAGTCTGTGTGCTCAGACAGAGCCTGGGTGCCCTACCCAGTCCTCCACCAATTATTTCTTTTTCGC